CCAGCCCCCCCTCCCCAGATCTTGTCTTTTCCTTCAATGATGGGCAAGAGGAGAATGGAAGCCCAAGCCCCGAGCCAGGGGGAAAGTCTTACTGATTCAGAGTGCTCAGGCGATGTTGGTGACCCCAAGTCCAGCGGCTGGTAGCAACAAGGCATTGAGAGGGAGAAAAAAAAAATAAGAAAATAAGAGGAAGTTATCAACGAGAGGGGGGGGAGGGAAAATGGGACAGTTTAATCTTCGTATAATTCAAGCAAACCAGAGTAAATCTGCCCACCCACTGCAGAAAATACAAAAGACTAAACACTCCTGTACCAGACCTGCAAGCTGTTTCTTCTATAGAAATGGTACTTCCTAGAATACCTGGCTGGGACAGTATAATTCCATCCTGTGGCTGTCTAGTCAACACAAGAACTGCTAGCCCACTTCAGTGGAAAGCTTCTCACTAGAAGTTTGTTGCAGGCCCATGGAAACAGGTTGAACTAACTCACTTTTACTTTTGGTACACCACCTGAAGAATTAAATGCATCCCAGAAAAGCTCCAGCAGCAAAAGCCACAGCACTTTTTCTTTCAAATACAGTGTTCATCTGTTTGCCAGGACTGAGTCCAGCTTTTACAGAGAAGCTGATGTCAAAGTAGCTTAAATTTCCTTTTAAATTAAGGTGCCTGTCTAGCATAGACTGGATAGGCTGTGCCATTTTCTCTGCATGAGGCACTCACCTTAAACACTTGGTCCAACGTTAGGCAACGGTTGGCATCAGGGTGAATAGTCCAAAATGAGATTTTACCATTAGCAGATGTCTCACGGACAAACATATCATGAAGGGACAGGTTGTGCCGTATGGAGTTCTGGAGAAAAAGGAACAAGGGGGGGGGAACTGAATAGCAGAAGTTGTTATCAGCACTGTAGGGCTTACTTCAGACGTGACTGCTCTGGCAGAGGAGACTCCATTCCGAAGTCCAGACAATGTGGACCTTCATATTCACTGCATACCCAGCCAACCTTACCATAAGTCTCTTACTCTCTTTACTCTTGAGAGCCCTATTCTTACTGCAATGACCAAACATCCCACCATCCTGCCTATGTAGCACGAGAAAAAGGATACAAGAAGTTGAAGGGGGAACGCCTGGAATGAGAGAGTATTTGGGGTGGGATATATAAGTTAATTTCCATCTTGCTCTGCAGGCTGGGGAACAACTTTTCATTTTCACCTAGAAAGCTTATGACTGTATCACCCTGAGGCCCACAGCAACTTGAGGGCCTACTTGTTACCTTCCAACCTGGCTTAGCCACATGTTTAAAATATGGGAAATGATCCTCAATCCAGGTATAGATGTCCTTCAGAGTCATACGCTTCCTCTCAGTGCTATTGATGGCAAACTGGATCATGGCCATGTACGAGTAAGGAGGTCGTTCTGATATCGAATCCTGCCATGAGGAGGAGGAGGAGGAAGAAGAGGAGGTAGGAATGGCAACAGCAGTGGAATCTTCTTCAGTCTGAGACAGAAAAAACAATACATGAGTGCTCAAAGAGCTGACAAAAAGAGTTGGGTAATCTATGTCCTGCTATGCAAAACCAGTAAGAGGCAACATCAGGTTACTTAGAGTTGGTCACATCTAGTTCTTGCAAGTCTTCTAATCCATATGAATTGCATCCCTATCAAGGGTTTCAGTGCACACTATGTTGCCTTTGCCTGCTTACCTTGATTTTTTCCTGCAGAGGTATCTGGTTCTCTTTCTCCATATCTTGCTTCACAGAACAGGGACTTAGTCCATCAGTTCTCATCTTCCCCAGCCACTGGATGTTAGTGAGACTATTATCCAGCACAGAGCTCATTGTCTCGCCACTGCCTGTCGGGATAACAAGCCCATAACTCTGCTTACTCACAAGTAATCCTCTTCCTTCACCTTAATGCCAAATGGAAGGCACTAATCACACTGCTCAAAAAGGTATCCCTGTGTCACGATAAGGACAAGATGATACTGCAAAGCTAAAGCTTCTTGTGCATATACCTTAAATTCCTGATTGTATGAGAATCTGCCCAATTCCTGAAAAAAGCTGAAGCCTTAAAAAAAAAAAAAAAAAAGACAAAACAAAACAATCAAACCAGACTATTGCTCTCAATCAAAACAGGACAGTGTTAACTCCAGTACTTCAAGAATTCAAGCATTTTCAGCTAAAAGATGAACCCAGTAAGCAAAGGCCAAGGAAAGTGGTGGCATAAACCACTTTATGCCACCATAGAAAGAAAGAAAGACTAAGCGCAAGACCCAAGTCAGAAGCTCCATGTTTTCAGGGTTTTTCAATAGCAACAATGGAAAACTACTCCAGTTTTATTGTTTCTAGTGAGGCTGTTTGTAACAATATATCTACTAACTAGAACAGTATGTGGGTTCCTGTCAGGCGGCAGGATAAAGTTTGCCACAGACAAAAGCTACGTAGTTACAAATACTATTTGAGCAGTGAGTCAAAGTAAAAACTATCCTACTTCTAACATTTGCCCATCAACTTCATGTGACAGTCAAGAAAAAATGGGCTTGCCACTTAGTTATGAAAGGATGGGAAACATTTCTCTTTCAGAGCTCCAGGCTCCTATGTTTTGTCACTGACTAGGGTACTTCATGCTTGTCTTGATTCCATCCATCACTTCTTTGCTTAGTATTTTGTTCTAATAGACTAGATTCCCTTAAACCAACCCCACTTCTTTTTCCCTCAGCACTAAAATTTTGCCTTGGTACACACTTCATATGCCAGACCTGTCTCTTCCACCAAAAACATATCCACAGGGATCCTTCAGATTTCGCTACATATATACAGATATTTTGTAAATAATTCAACAATTTACTGCATACTGAGATCCATTGTCCCACTTTGCACAACTTTGCCCATCTATCATGGTGAAGGAAAGGGTAAGAGTTACATACTGGTGCTCTCCTGTTCCTGTGCAACCACAGAATCAACTCCTGAGTGCCAGGTCGTTGTCCCTCCTGCAAGCCCAGGTGTCTGCATGACATTCTTCTCTCTTACTTGACCATCAGCAGCCTTGATCGCTGCACCAGGTTTCTCTGAGGGGAGATGCTGTGACAGTCCTGAACCTGATGAACAAGAGGTGCCCCCACTGCTAATGAGAATGAACTTGTTGGGCCCATTATTTCCACATTCTTTTCCTTTTGCTGTAAGGGCTTCTATGATGCTCTGAATATCAGCATTTGTAGGGATGGCCACTACTTGTGTGTTGGGCATGGTAGGATGGTTGATTATTTTTATTCCTGCTGGGAATTTCTGCAGGCCAGAGTCCGTTTTGTCTCTGCCTTGGCTGTCATGTTGGTCCTCTTGGCTGTGCTCCTGCTTAGATGTCTTTTGTCCCTGACCATCATGCTCATCTCTTGCTGAAGTACTGGGTGCATCCTCCTGTGGAATGGCCAGCTTCCGTCTTTTGAGAATTAAGGGCCTGCGAGGGCTGGTCCTCATTATTGATCCGTACAGTCACTCTCCATTGAAAACAGGAATAATAAGTCCTGCAAAACAAAAGATATAATGTAAGAGCGAAGATGGCAGGAACAGAAAAGAAAGATGCAGCAAATTGCCACAGGCCTTCCACAGCGCATATGTAATCACCAGTAATTACACTGCTAGGAAAAAAAAAAAAAAAAGAAGAAAAATCAGAATTGAGAACTTTTAACAAGATTGACCAGACTATGGGAAAATAGTACTGTAATTCTCTTATTCACATCTTGTGTAAGCAGGACAGGAGAGATATTTGCAAAGCAGATAATTTATATCAGAAGTTCAGAGTCACAGAGTACCTAACAGGGAAGGAAAGCACGTGTATCTGCTTTGCAGAAAGGGATGCTAAGACTTAGCTGTAAAGTGGTTTGATCAGCATCAGCCAGCAAGCTGGAGGGATGAGAAGCTGTAACACAGAAATAGCAGCCCTGATCCTTACATCTCATTGCTGTAAGCAGATCACGCAAGACGAGAGAAAAGGGGATTTAGCAGATGGTGTAAGATTTGGGCAGGAGAGGTTGCCCTGGACACCATAAGAGCACATAATGAAAGCAGCAGAGGCTAGGTGCTTTGAAATAAATGTGGAGTAAACGCTCCAGCTATTCCTGCTGTAGAATTCTGTAGCGTCGGACAAACCTGCCACAGGGCAGCATACAGCTCAAATCCCAAAACCCTGAGATAAGAAACGATTCAGGCAAGATTTTAGATAACAATTCTTAACGAAGAAGGCACTCAGCATCGGTGGACTTGACAGGGCCGGCCAGTAAGCAAGAAAACTGTCAGCAAGCCACCTGCGTGGGTTAAAAAATAATAATAAATAAAATAAAATAGAGCCCCGGGGACAAAAAGCCGAGGCGGCGCCCAGCGTGGCAGGCCGCTGGGGCTGCCCGGCGGCCGAGCTGCGGCACCCAGGGCCCCGCTCCTCACGGGGAGGCCTCACCCCCGCCCCGGCACCACAGCCCCGGCACCCCCCTGTCCTCCTCCCCCCGGCGGGGCCGGGCGGGCAGCACTCACCGGAGATCGCGGAGGGAGCCCCGGCGGCGCTGCCGGCCCCGCGTCACGGCCCCGCTGGGCTCGGCTCGCTTCAGGTCCCCCGTTTGAATTTGGCGCCCGGCGGCTCGCGGCCGTCACGTGCCCGCCCGGGCCAATGAGGGGCCGCGCCCGGGCTGGCGGCGGGAGGCGGGGCCCGGCTGGGATCCGCATCCGGAGCGCGGCCGCCGCCGGCGCCGTTCGCTCGCCTCAGGGGAGCGGCGCCGGGCCCGGGGGGGCGGCTGAGGAGCCTGGGGGCCGTTAGGCAGCGGCAGCGCCGTGTGGCGGGAGGGCGCTGACGGGCGGCCAGAAACTGAGAATTGTCAGTGACCGAGCTGCTTCTGAGCCTAGGTGGTTCCCTGTTTCAGTGTTTCAGTCAGGTCTTACCGCGTGTGGGTGCCTTTCAAAAATATTGCTTCTAAGTATTCATAAAATATGCTTCTAAAATATTTCTATGAGCGTGCCTATGCAAGTTTGTCTGGGTTGTGTATTTAAAATACGTGTTTTTGCAGGAAACTGGTCTTTCTTATAACATCACGTCTTGCTCAAAGTGCTGCTTCAGAACCCTTTCTGCAGCTACAACGTTTTTATTTTGTTTGTCTGCCCCAACCTATTTGGCTATCTCCTTTTGTGAAGCTTCGGAACATTTTAACTATCTGTTCTGTGGTGCATTTGCTAAGTTTGCCTGGAATTTGACAGAAGGCTTAAAAGCTATTGGTGAGGTATACACAATACTGGTGTGTGTTTTATTTCTCTTAAAATTTATACTCGAGGTTTCCAAACAAGCTTGTCTTCAAATGCGTTTATTTGTCTTCTACAGATTTGAGAGCGCTTTAGCATCTTCTCAGAGTGCTTTCGTCTTTCTCCAGTTGGTTCTAGCAAGCGTCATGAGGTTTCTAAGTGGCTTTACCATATCTTTTGATGCCTCCGAAGAAGAAACGTACCTGCAATGCCAGGAAAACAGAACTGGTATTCCTTGAGGAACCATGGGAGGGACCCATCCATTGCTGTGAAACTCCACAACCTTTGGCTGAGAATCCAAGACATGTTCCTACAAAACCTATAGACAAGAATACCTCTGCTGCCTGGGTTGGTATAACTTATCCTTTCCCCTGTGTCCCACAGCAACAGTCTTAGAGTTTCTCCCACAAGTCACAAGACTCAAAAAAAAGCTGTCTGTCCTGGATATGCAAAATTAGTAGCGTGGACCTGAATTGATTATAAATGCCTAAAGCATAAATAAGCACGTGTGAGTTGCTTCGCATTGTGATCACAAACAAACTACAAGATTTTGGGTATTTGAAGGCATAACACTGCGCAGTGTATACTGATTACTATTCCTGTTTGTCTTCTGAAAAACTATTTCTCATGAGGAAAATGCTTTCTATGGCAACTGGAAAACCCTATACAGAAGAAATATTCTTTGGCGGATTTTTATTTATTGCCTTTCTGCTTGAAATTGCTGAAATCTAAATGTTACATGTTAAAATACTAGGTGTCATATTTAAATCTGACACTACTAATTTTAGGGACCAGAGGTCTTCACTTCAAAATAACTTGTTTTAACCTGCCTTATTTTCCATTCTGTGTGTTTTGAATAGTTTCTCTCCTTATTGTTCTTCTGATGGGCTTCTTTCTAGTCTGAAAGAATATTCCAGGGACTGTTGCGGTGTCCTGAGATAGTCTGTATATTATGTAATGCCAAGATTTATTTATTTATTTTTTTTAAGTAAATGGCTGCTGCAAAGACAGGCTGTTCCTATATATGTGTGTTCCTAGATATCTATGTGTCTCTATACACACGCTGTTCCAACAATAGTTATCTCCTAGGGGAGCTTTGTTTAAGTGTTATTTCTGCTTGAGTCTCTGTGCTTTGAGAGCTACAAAGATGGTGAAGGGTCTAGAGGACAAGATGTATATGGAGCAGCTAAAGACACTTGGTTTCTTCAGTCAGGAGAAGAGAAGATTGAGGGGAGACCTCGTCACGGTCTACAGCATCCTCACAAGGGGGAGCGGAGGGCAGGCACTGATCTCTTCTCTCTGGTGACCAGCAATAGGACCCGAGGAAATGGCATAAAGTTGTGATGAGGCAGTTCAGGCTGGCTACCAGCAAAAGGTTCTTCACAAAGAGGGTCATCAGGCACTGGAATAGGCTCCCCAGGGAAGTGGTCACGGCACCAAGTCTGATGGAGTTCAAGAAGCATTTAGGTAGCGCTCTCAGACATATGGCCTGATTTTTTGGGTGATCCTTTGGGGACCCAGGAGTTGGACTTGATGATCCAGAGGAGGGCTACGGAGATGGTGAAAGGCCTGGAGGGGAAGACGTACGAGGAACGGCTGAGGGCACTGGGCCTGTTCAGCCTGGAGAAGAGGAGGCTGAGGGGAGACCTCATCGCAGTCTACAACTTCCTCGTAAGGGGTTGTCGAGAGGCAGGAGACCTTTTCTCCATTAACACCAGTGACAGGACCCACGGGAACGGGGTTAAGCTGAGGCAGGGGAAATTTAGGCTTGACATCAGGAGGGGGTTCTTCACAGAGAGGGTGGTTGCACACTGGAACAGGCTCCCCAGGGAAGTGGTCACTGCACCGAGCCTGTCTGAATTTAAGAAGAGATTGGACTGTGCACTTAGTCACATGGTCGGAACTTTTGGGTAGACCTGTGCGGTGTCAAGAGTTGGACTTGATGATCCTTAAGGGTCCCTTCCAACTCAGGATATTCTATGATTCTATGATCCTTGTGGGTCCCTTCCAACTCAGGATATTCTGCATTCTTTACAAAGCAGGCTCAAAAAGTGTTGTTTCAACTGTACAAGAAACATTCCTTTAACCCTGGAGACACGAAGTTATTTTTGTTATGCTTTAACCTTGAAGTAGAACTTGTTCAATTTTTTTACTTTTTATATCGGTGCGTTAGCTCTATGGCTTCTGCAATGCTGTGTGCAATAACTACTGTGAAGAACTATGTTTTCTGTTTGGAAGAGATGAAAATGTCTACATTATTATTTGTTTCTGAACAGTATTCCATTTCAAAAATCCTGGTACGTTTGTAACTTCCTGCAGATTCTTCTGCAGATGGATGTCAGATGTTTCAGTGGCAGCTGAGTTTCTGCTCATCTTGGTGTTAAGTCTTTAATACCAGGTAAAGTCTACCTGACGTTTCTCTGAAGCAAGGAAGTCATACCCTCAAAGTCAGCGTGGTTCGTTCTTCTAAGTGTGTGCTGGGATGCAGTTATTAGGGAATCATTACTCTGTTTTCCTGCACAATGGCTTTGCATTCCAGCAGTTCAGATATACAACAATCACTACCTGTAGTTAACTTGAACTTAGTTTTTGAGGGACTATGTAGTAACGTGAGAGTGCTAAAAGGGGTCTGTGGTTGTCATAACTGGAAGCCAGTTTGGCATGCTCTAGGGAAAAATAAATAGTGAGAAACTGAACCTGACTTTTTTTTTTGAGACCCAGGAAGATAAAGACTACTGTAACAGAAGGATTTTCAGGTCTTGAGTAAGAGTCCCGAGTCTTTCAAGGAAATACAGATCGTTAACTTTGACCATCTTCTATGGACAGCTGATTTGAGGATTGGCAGTTCCAGTGATCTGCTCTTCTAGAATATAGAGGTTAACTATGTGTTTGAGGCAAAGGTGTTTTGGGGAAATATTGTGAAGGCTTAATTAGCATAATCTAAGATGATGAAATGAAGTTGGTATTGTTTAAATCACTTTGTATCAAACCTCTGTCTGTTCAGGAACACTGAGGATGTGGTTCATTGAATTTATGACACAGAAGGACACAGGATCCAGGCCTGAACTATTTTAAATCTGCAGGTGTTAAAGGCGTAGATGCCAGTTAGGTGATTGAGATTTTTCTTTAAATCAGAAATCTTGTGTTCTTTTGTAAGTTACCAGAGTAAGTTCACTTCCTACCCACTTTCTTTAGAGGGAAGTGTCAGAACATAACTTTGAAGTTCAGAGGTGTCTCATGCTTACCAGCAAGGTTAAAGACTGTTTTGCTTTGCTGCAGACCATCCTATGCATTTAATGAATGCACTGAAGACAGATGGGATGGGTGGGGAAGTAGAATGAGGTTGTTGTTCCTTTGGAGAAAATTCTTTTTATTTTCTTATGTCTTGACCTTCAGGTGTGCGCACAATTTGAGACAACCAAGTCGTTGGTCTTGAAAGCATTTCAGAAGAAGCATCGTGGTGCTTGTAAAGCGCAGAAGCAGGATGCCAGCCACGGGTTGCCTTGCGCGAGGGGAGCTTGTCAAAGACCCGCAGCCTGCAAATTCCCTCCTTTAACTTTTGAGAGTTCGGACGGATGCGCAGCCTGCTCCCCGGATGCGCTGAACCACGCAGGGAGGCAGGCACAGCACCCTCACGGCAGGGTCCCACACAACAACATCCAGGCGGCCAGTTCCCAGAGCGGTGAGGAAACACCACCAGCGCCCGCTCCCCGGCCTGTGGAGCCAGCAGCCTTCAGCCCACCGGACATCGGGACCCCACAGCCTCCTGTACGGGGCGGGAGGTGCAGCAGCGCCCTGTCACCGCCCGGGGAGGCGGCGGCGGTGCTGGTCGCGGACACCCCGCAGGAGCAGTACGGGCTCCGCGTCACCTGGCGGCAGCGGCCCCGCGTCCTGCAGTACCTGCGGGAGCGGGGCAGGCTGAGCAGCGCTGACACCATGGTGCGGAGGGACGCGGGGCTGTGCGGCAGGCAGCCCCGGTAGTTCCCACCGCGCTCCGCCCTCAGGCGGCTCCGGTGTCGGGCATGCGCGGCCCCGAGCGGGGCGGGGCGGGGCGGGGGGGCGGCAGCGGGTTCCGCCGCCACGCTGCGCCGCGAGGCGGGGCCATGGCAACGGCGGGGCCGGGCATGGAGAGCGCCGGGGGCCGCGGCACGGCCGGCGCGGGGTGAGTGAGGGAGGGAGGGAGCGGGGCCGGCGGGGCGAGGAGCCCGAGGGGTCGGAGCGCGGGCGGCAGCATCAGCCCTGCCCTGCGCCGCCTCCCTGCTATGGCACGGCCGGGCGCTGCGGCGCCGTGGCTGTGCCCGTGCCAGGGCGAGGGGCGAGGGGATGGGGCTTTGCATGGGGATTACGCCTGTGGCGTCTGAATGGCAAAAAAAAAAAAAAAACACTTGAGGGTAAATGTGGGGATACGGGCGGCTGATGAAGGAGAGAGGAGGTGTTTATTTGGGGTTGTAATTTTTAGTTGAGGAGGGTGGAATGAGGCAATAGAGTGAGAAGGGGTCCGCTAATCTCGTGGGTCCATCAAATGTGCTGTGAAACATTAAAGTCAGCGGAAAGAAGAAATCTTCTAAGATTGAGGTTTGTATACCGATTCTAGAACTTTTTTTTCTTTTAATTCTTTTATGCCAATAAATTTTCTTGCATAGATGTTAGACTTTTAAATTTTTACAGAATTGAAGCCACAGAGAACAACACTGCTCTTCTGATAAGTTGCAGTAGCACAATTTCTTTCTACTAAGAAACTTATTTTGCATGCGTCTATGGGTGCCCCACAGAAGCAGCCTTACATTAGTGCAAGTTCATCTCTCTCAGCCCCAGATTATTAAAGAAATAATCTATTTTCTTTATCGGTCTTCATTGATTAAGGTAAGAATACTAGAATACATGAACCTAAATAAACGTACATAGTCTAAGTAGATATTTAAGGCCTATTATTTTTAGGGTTTTGACTTGGAATGTTCAGGAACACTATAACAAATTGCAGGAAGACAAACAAACAAAACCCCCACAACTGTATTTTTAGGAAGGATCTTTTCCTAAGAAGAGAATGATAAAGTTATCTGTAAATGACTAATTTAGTGATTACAGCTCTTGTTTGGCAAAGCAAACTGGAGAGGTCCCACATGACTGGAAGCTAACAAACATTTGCCCTTTTTGAAAACTGGAACAGAGAGAAGACCCTGGTAACTACAGATCTGTCAATCTCATTTCAGTCCCTCATAAAATTATAGTGAAGATTTTTCTGAGAGTTACTGAAAAACAACTGAAAGACAATACAGTCATTGGTCACAGCCAACATGAGGGGAAGGCTCTGCTTAATGAACTTAATTTCCTTTTATGACAAGGTCACTCACCTAGTTGACCAACAGAAACCAGTTTATGTTTTTGGATTTCAGTAAAGTTTCTCCCAGTATCCTTCTGGGCAAAATGTCTCTCTTACAGCTAGGTAAATACATAATACGAGTGGTGAACAACTGGTTGATGAGTTGGTCTCAAAGAGTTAGAGTAAATGGGGTTACATCAGGCTGGTGGCCACTCACTAGTGGGTATCCACAGGGCTCCATTCTGGGACCAAGCAAATGGTGTGAACCTGTGACAGATGAGGTTCAGGGTGGATACTGGGAAAAGGTTCTTCAACAACTGGTTGTCGGGCACTGGAACAGGCTTCCCAGGGAAGTGGTCACAGCACCAAGCCTGATAAGAGTTCAAGAAGTGTTTGGACGACACATTCAGATGTGGTTTCATTTTAGGGTGGTCCTGTGTGGAACAAGGACTGGGATTCTGTGATCCTTGTGGGTCCCTTCCAACTCAAGATATTCTCTGATTTGATGAATTTGTTACTTGTCCAGTCTTTTTGTAAAGAAAAATGAATGTGGTACATTATTGCTAATAACCAACTTTAAACTTTGACTTTCAGCTAGGCATGACAAAGCTATCTTAATGCTTTAGAATATGGTAATATTGATGGAGCTATTTCATTGTTTTGATTAGTGCTACAACATTCTTTTTCATTTGGGAAAGTCTGAAATTAAAAATGTTGGGTAAGGTTAACACATTCAGATAAATTAACTAAATTCACTGTGTTTAAAATATTGAGAAGGCAATTTGAGTCTTATGGTAGTACGTGCTTGACAGTCTCGGAGACTAATGAACTTTACCATTTCATACAATAATTATATAGTAAACAGCAATGTTTTAAGCTTCCCACATGCTTCCTCCCAAATGGGATTCAGCTTCTGACTTGGAGATGTCACACATGAAGAACATTATTTTCAGGACATTGAAATCTTGGCTGACTCTACAGAGATTACAAAAATGGACGTCAACTACAATGGTCCCTCCTGTATTGGGTTTACATGGTAACGTTTTGGTAGTGAGGGGCTGCAGGTGGAGTCTCCATGGAAAAGTCCAGAGGTTGGTCCATGTAAAAGCTGGTTTCAGCCGGCTCCAAAGGGACCTGCTGCTGGCCAGAGTGAGCCAAAGAAACACACTGGTTGCACCTCTGTGAGACCAAATTTAAGGAAGGGAAAAAAACTGCTATACAACAGCAGCTGGGAGAGAGGAGTGAGAAGCAGCCCTGCAGACCCCAAAGCCAGTGCAGGAGGTGGAGGAGATGCTCCAGAGCAGCAGTTCCCCTGAGGCCTATGGAGAGGCCCCTGGTGGAGCAGGCTGTCCCCCTGCAGCCCATGGGTCCCCCATGGAGCAGATCTCCACGCTGCAGCCCCCCCGTGGGTGGAGGAGCCCCCGGTGGAGCAGGTGGATGTGGCCTGGAGGAGGCTGTGGCCCATGGAGAGCCCCCGCAGGAGCAGGCCCCGAGCCGGAGCTGCAGCCTGTGGAGAGGAGCCCACGCAGGAGCAGGGGGTCTGGGGGGAGCTGCTGCCCACCCGCGGGGGACCCGTGCTGGAGCAGTTTGCTCCTGGGGATGGACCCCGTGGGACAGCGCCCTGTGGGAGCAGTGCTTGAAGAGCTGCTGCCTGTGGGCAGCCCCTGCAGGCTCAGTTCAGGAAGGACGGCATCCCATGGGAGGGACCCCATGGGGAGCAGGGGCAGGGAGTGACTGTGAAGGAGCGGCAGAGACAAAGCGTTAGGGACTGACTGCAGCCCCCGTTGTCCCATTCCCCTGTGCCACTTCGGGGGGGAGGGGGGACATAGAAGAGAGTGGATGGGGGAAAGGTGCTTTTAGTTTGCTTTTAGTTTCTCATTGGTCTATCCTGTTGGTAATAGGTAATAGATTATATTAATCTCCCTATGCCAGTTTGTTTTTTTTTCTTTTTTCCCATGACAACAATTGTTGAGTGATCTCCCTATCCTTATTTCATCCCTTGACCCCTTGCGTTGTATTTTTCTCATCCTTTCTCCATCTTCTTCTCTCTTCTTCCTCCCACTCCCCCTCTTCTGAGGAGGAGGGGAAGTGAGAATGGTTATGGTGGAAATCAGCTGTCCAGCTGGGTAAAACCACAACACTTCCCATACTTTGGATGCTTTCCTGGTGACTAGACACACATGAGTTAGTGGCTTTCAGTTTCGGAATCCCAAGTTACTCCAGAATGTCTTCAAAAGTTAATGAAGAAAAAGGGCCTATTGTCAGTAAGCTAAATTTCCAAAGATTATGAGCCCGTGGACTGAAAAATATTCAGAAGTGATTTCCAGCCAAAAGGCCTTTCCATATTTGAAAAACTGTAGCATAGTTAAGGTTGTTGGGAGTCTTGGAAGACTGCTGGGCTTGATTATTTTGCATAGATGTACCTGAATTGTAAGTTTGGGGAGAAAAAAAAATAAAAGTTACTTGCGAATGATTTTAGCTATACTTGTAATCCAGACAGGACAGAAAAGTCCAGGTTTCCTTTTAAAATCCTATTAACATCTCTGTTAGCCCTTGGGTATTTTTATTTGGGTGCTGGTGACCTCCTTGGAATTAACAAGAACTGTTTTGTAAGTCCCAGGGATTACAATTTCACAAATCTTATCCTTAGATAAAAGAAAATTGGCTTAATATCTTGTTTGTCCAATCCCTTTAAAATCGGAGCATTACCAAGAAATCTGTCTAAAATGGTATAAATTTGTAAATATTTTTTAAGTGCAGTTGAGATGTACTCCTAGGAATGCATTTTAGAAAGAAGAGAATACCTTTGTGGCTACAGGTTGTTGCGGCTCTTGTCAATGTGAATAAAGAGGGAATCAGTCCACTTCCTGTGATGCAGACAGCAGTGGCAAGAGAGAAAAAGTAGCAAAACTGTTCTTGTCACTAAAATTTCCAGACACAACTTGAAATGTTCGCACTTGGTAACTGCAATTGTTAGAACAATAAAAGTCTTAAAGATGCTGTTTATTTGAATTGTCTCTTCAGATAAGTTCTCCCATTCCTTATGCTTTAGGTTACTGATGGCCCATTTTTATAGAGGCAAAGGTTATTTTTCTTTTCTCCTGCTTTTTTTTTTTTTATCCAATGTCAATATGACATTTGTAGGAGGGGCAAGTGCCCAGATTTCAAGGTAATTGTGCCTTCATGTTGTGTGAAAACTGTTTCTGCAAATTGTCTTGCACTAGCATAGTTCCAGTCTTGTTTTATCAGTGGGATACAGCTGGGTAATCTCCACAATAAAGCTGTTAAATGTATTGTAATTGGGTTATGGAATGACTGCTCTTGTAAGGAAATTTGCTGATAGGCCTAGAGCTAGTGTTTTAGACTACTACAAGAACATTTACCCTTAGTCCTAGTGTTTAAAACATCTCCTGTTAAAATTCTAACAGCCTCTTACTGTTCGAGAAGTCAGTAATCACTTACTTCTGCACTCCTTTCCAATCTAAAATTCTTATGTGAAATTACAGGCCAAAACAAAAAAAAACAAAACCAAAACAAACAACAAAAAAAACCCCAACACACAAAACCCAAGATTCTAAATGTAGTATATTGCTGAGTCATCTAGTTTGGGATGGAAATTAAATTTTACTGTTTCAATCTTCTTAATAGCTTTCTCATTAAAACTTATAAGAACTGGACTGGAACTAAAACTCCACATACCATTCTGTACTATTAATTTAGAAAATTTAATTTTTTTCCCTTGTTTTTTGGTTTGTCAGACAATAAAACAATTTTTGGCATGACATGCAGTAAATTTATTTTCAGGGAACTTTGTGTTTTGCTCTCTAGTCTGGGTTATGCACCCTGTGTGCTGTTTAACTGCAGACTTTGTTGCTAGGGGAGAGTAGCAATTGCTTTGCATTTAAATGGGTTTGTGTTGTAATGGAGTACAATGCCAACAGAAGTGACAGGCAAGGTTTAATAATTCACAAATTGAAGACTATAGGAATCTAAGGCCCTGTGGATCTTGCCAATGTGTATACGTGAAATATCCCTGAGGATTTGGAGTATGTAGTTGAAAGTACATTAAATACAAGCTGGTGTTCTGCTTATGGCAGTTTCTGCTTCATAGAAGAAAGTTCAGTTTCATTAAATTAACCTGAATACACATGATTTTTGGAAGTATAGCATTCTGCAATTGAATCAGTGGTTAAGAGCTGAAAGATCCTTACTCACGTTACAAATTTGTATCTTCCGAGTCAATGCCAGGATCCCTGTGAGTCACCAGCTATGAACTCTTGAAGGAATATGCCTGGCTGGAGGTTCATTGTCCCCCTCCTCTTAC